CACTCCAATAAGGCGTTGCATGACGGGATGCATGATGACGTCATATCTCTCATTCTGGACAGCTATCTCCAGAGGAGTTCGAGCAGGCGTTTTCTGTTCTTTTAACTTTGTTCCTTCCAGATAGTTGAGAAAATAAAATTCTTTACGATTGATTGTGTCTACTGAATGAAACTGATCCATTGCATCCAAAGCCACTTCAGGAATCTTTTCAATAAGAAGAGACAAGGCCGAGTTTCCCAAGTTGTCATACACACCAGCTGGAGCACCTTCCATAATCAGGAGTTTGGCAGCTTTGGAACGATTCATTTCTGCAGCTACCTATGATCGTGATGGAAATTATTTGTAAGACATGCACAGAAGTACTTATAGTCTAGGACCTGTATAGTTTTTTGTATGCGTTTCATTTAGCACAGGTAATCTCAACTGTTTTAAGGTAAAATGACCATGGCGGTCAACATGGCATATGTGCCAAAACCTGAATCTGGGGCGAAAGTCCTGAAAATGACCCTGTCCTGAAACGGCAGTGCCGACATAGCTCCAACTTCCGAAAACGAAAAGCGACAGCCTTTCTGAAGTGCTTATGGTGTTTAGAAGGGTTGCTTTTAGGGGTGGTCATTGGAAGGAAAAATTTGTCTAAGTATAATATTTTACAAGAAAATGACCATTTATCACCCCAGGTAAAATTGCTAATTATGCATAAAATAACTAATATGCCTGGCAGAAATTAAATGTTCTTATTTCCTAAACAAAATTATCATGGGATGAAAAACTATGCTTAATTTAATATAATTGTAGTTTTCATAAGGATTGTCATTGTTTTCTTTAAATATAATGTACATTTTATTTCACTCATCCCCCACGAAAACACGATTTCAGCTATATATTTTTGCCGTCTTGTTCGCTTTTTATCGCCGAGTCTCGCAAATATCATCCAGTTGTACCTTTACATAATGATAAATGGCTAAAGAAGATTTCAACCAAGTTTCATCAACTTTTGAAGCAGTGCAGTGTATTTTATCTCCGATAACGTGTCCTTCGATACTTCGTCAAATTGCCGCCATTGCCATTTTAATGGCTCGCCGTTTGTCTGCCCGATAAATGCCACTTCTTCGTTTTCATATGTATTTAGATTACAGTATTCAAGAGTACTTCATTGTAGAATAGTCCCAATCGAAAAATTGAAAACATTAGTCGCATTTGGAAGGAAAAACCCTCCCGTAAACGATTTAGGTTCAAAATAAAAAACAAATCATTTGAAAGTCACGCGCAATCTTCGCGAAAACTTCTCGTGGGCACATGACGGGGGGGGGGGGGGGGGTGAATATTTTGACGAAACGTTTGTTCGCCATGACAGCAACCTAACTAAATATATTGTATTTATTGTATTTTTACGATTTATGATAAAAACAATAAATATTTGCGTAGTTTTATCATAAATCATAAAAATACAATATATTTAGTTAGGTTGCTGTGGTGGCGAACAAACGTTTCGTGAAAATATTCACCCCCCCCCCCCCCCCCCCC